GCTCTCCTTCCCAACAGTGAAGACAAGTAATACGCAATCCTTTTGGTGCTGCTGAGTCTAACTGTCTCTGGGGTTTTCATTCCTAGAGTTAGAATAAGTACCGGTTGAGCATCTCTAACCCAAAAATCCACACTGCTGTAGAATCCAAACCTTATGAGGCATCAGTGTGCTAAGTGGAAAATTCCACACCTGACCTCATGTGGACTGAACACGGACACATAAATATATAAAATATAAAAATATTATGTGAAGCTGCCTAGTGCTATAGGTATAAGGCCTATAAATATGAAGCAAATGAATTTCATGTTGACTTTTTCCATATCCCCAGGATATCGTATTATGTATATATGAATATTGCATCCAAAAACCTGAAAAATGCCAAATCTTAAACACTGCTGGTCCTAAGTATTTGGGGTGAACAATGTTCAACTTATATAAGCATTTTGCATGACAAAATTTTTTTTAAGGAAAAATATCTTATTAAGATGTATTCTTGACATCTGATACAAATGTCTATGGAAAGTGTCACTTTAAAATTTACAGATTTTAAAAATAGGCTACCTTGGAGGTAAAAGAGAGAGAAAGCTATAGCTCCATATTGATATTTGACTGTAAATAAAGAAATGAATTCTGAAGGCTTGGGACCACACAGCGGGGGAACGGCGCAGGGAGGCATGAAGGGTTCGCAGCATGCAGCCGGTACTCTGGATTTTGAACAGGGCAAATGTTCTATCTATTTTTAAAAACACACACAAAGTTAAAAAATAGAAAAGCATTCACAGATGTTTACCAAGCCTGTCTCTCTACTGGGGAAGCAGGCGAGTGTGTATCTGAAGGCTCCCGCTTAGTAACAAACAGGAGCAGCAGCAGAGCGAGACCCCCCGGCGCCCCTTCCCACCTCGGCCAGCGGCCGGGACACAGACGCCTCCGACCACTGAGGCCTGAAACCAAGTGGATGAAGTGTTGAGGAAGTTCCCAAAATAGAGAATAATTGATTTTTGTTTGAAAAATGAATTTGGACTTATTCCCATTCTGTGGGCCATAGGATAGGGTGTCCTTTAAATAGCGATAGCAGTAATTAAACACACCCCGGGATTCCAAGATGATGAGCCTTGGGACCCTGAGTACGCTGGTCGCAGGGAGGTGACTGGGAGGCTTGACCAACTCTAATGAGCATTTCAGCAGTGCAGCCGCCTGGCAAATTATCAGGGCTGTTAAATCCTAATACTCAGTGGAGAATGCCTTCTGTTGTGGCTCTGCCGCTCTCTCTTCTCTCCTGTTTTGAGCTGGGGTGTGTGGGGTTTCCTGACAGGGGCGCATGCACACTGTCTCCACGCAGGACACGGAGCCTGGGTAACGCGGCTTCAGCATCCGCGCTCTCCTTGCTTCACCTGCTTCTCATCTTCTGTTGCCTTCTGTCTCGTACCAGAGCTTTCTTTCTTCTCAGCTTGACGCTGACGCTGTGTGTGAGAGGATGGCTCTGGCAGAGACTGTGCAGAAGGTGCCTCACCCCTGGGCTCTCCCGGCAGCCCCGCCAATGGCCCTTGTGGTTCCCCTTCTTTCCTTTTCCTCCTTCCCCATCCCCTGCCCCAGGCCCTTCTCCTGGACTCAGGCTGCAATGCAAACCTTTCATTTTGTTTTGTTTCATTTTATACTGGTCTTTTTGAGACGGTGTTTGGCTAGGCAGTTCAGACTGACTGAAACTCACTTTGCAGCCCAGGCTGGTCTCAAAATCGAAGTGATTCTCCAGCCTCAGCCTCCCATGCACTACCATGCCCAGCCTGTTACTAGCAACCAATGAAAAATCCCCAGTGTAGCAGCGACACTGCCCAGCAGTGTCATAGTAAGAATGCAAGGTCAGTGACAAAGACATTCTGGGGAGGCCCAAATGAATAAAGCTCTAAAAGAAGGATGGTAATGGGAAGGGATGCTTTTCCAGGAGAAAGAGGCAGAGGCCGGTGCACCCAGGATAAGGCTTAGTCCATAGGTGGACTTCAGTAGTTGTCTAGTTTTGTTTGTTGTTTCTGTGATGCTGGGCATCAAAGCCTCATGCATAGTAGGCAGGCGCTTCACTGCTGAGCTACAGCCCCAGCCCCTGGGTAGGCAGAAACAATCAATCCATTGCCGTTGGAAATCCCCTAGCAGAATTTCAGGATCAAGTAGTGGGTAGCTTCTCTACCATGCTCTCTGCTCAAGAGGCCGAGTTGGGGGTCTCCCTCAATAATCACCCTCCTCCTCCAGCTTCCTATGGAGCAATGAGGAATCCCTAAAAGGAGACTTGCAGGAGAAAATTCCTCTCCCCAGGGTTCTTGCCTTTCTGGGTCGTGAGCATACTCCTTCAGGGCTAGACTTCATCATGACTCCCAAGGTCGCCAGGCTAGGACACTGCATTAATCTCTGGGTGTCCCCCACTCCGCCCACACCTCTGTCCTCTGCTAGCTGCTCCTCCAGTCCCTTCCTGCTGGGAACCTGGCGGGTACACGTTGAAAGGCTTGCACTTGGTTCTGCACTGCTGTTTACTGTGTTTGTGACCTTAGGTGTGCCATTTAACTGCTCTGTGACTCGTGTCCTTTAACTGTAACACGAAAGGGTTAGGTACATTTTTGTAATGCAATAAACACTTATTCTGAACCTGCTGTATTCCGGGTATTATACTAGATGCTAGGAAATATCTTGCTCTTAGGTGGTCCTGGATATAAATTTCTGAGAAATCAGTAATTCTAGAATCTCTGACCACACGATGGGAAAAATATATTCAGGGAAGGAGATTCAGGGGGGATCTTTTTCTCTCAAGTTACGAGGGAGGGAAGAAAACTAGACAAGGACAGGAGGTCTCAGGGAAACAGTAAGCCCAGGGCCAAGGGACAAGGCAGTCAGGGTAAGAAAATGACACCTGTTGGGAAGAACGATTCAGGCCCTGTCCCTGAAAGTCTATGTAGGTGGATAGGTGTGAATGATGAGAACTATCGTTATCGTGGTCATCCTACAACCAAATGGAATACAGCGCTAAGAGAGAGGAATTAGCAAAGTGAAAAGTACTATAAACCATACTTAATTGTGGTAAGTAATGTCAATCCTTACACTCATTTTCAAAGACCAGTTACTACTAGTGGCTAGTTCTAGGCAGCATATGCATAACATTAAACATGTGTCATTCTAAATTACGTGTTATATGACACCCAGTGTCATATAGCTAAGATGGGTCATCCCTGTCCTAGTGGAGGCGGGGGAGGGCTGGCTGCGGAGATCTGTGAGCCTCGGCTCCTGCCTCCTGGAGACGCCTGCACCTGCAGGAGGCAGCTGGCTGCAGTTGGACTTTTTTCTTGGATTTGAATCCTAAGTTCTTAGCCCCAGACCTGAGGCATTCACAATTACGGCTGGCCCTTCCTCCCTGATTTCTGCCAGTCTCTATCCTTTCCCTGTGTTGGGATGTTCTTCCAATCAGCACACGACATTCCCTGGTAGAGAAGCTGTGTTTTTTAACTGATAATTTTGCCCTACATCTACTCATCACATGTGGTCCCCAAAGCTTTTCCATACTCCTCTTCCAATAACAGCCACAATGTGGACCGAAAAGGTTTCCTGCATACCTGAATAAACATATCAGAAAGGTCTAACAGTAGATCCAAGTTCTTGTGGTCAAAAAGTAATGGAGCTGTCCTCTTGGATCAGGCCACAGATAGGTTCCATCCTCAGTGTCCACACTCCTTGCTGCCCCTTGGACACACACACATACACACACACACACACACACACACACACACACACACACACACACAGCTCCAGTCACACTAAATTCCCAGGACCCCCTGAACACTGATGTGTGCATGCACGTGCACAGGGCTTCTTTTGTTCAGGCCTGTCCCACCTGTCCCCTCTGTCTTCATTGCCCTCTCTTGTGTGTGCCCTTGCTGACAGTGGGTGTTTTTAGGGATGTGGCATTAAGCAATAGATTGCGGATGATTGGGTCACCTAGAAAGGAAGCTTTCCCTTTCTCTACTCCGGCAGGCCAGGGAGAATAACTGAGGAAAAGGCTCTGCATGGTCACAGCTTTTTAATACTACTTACCTTCCTTTCCCTGTTTAAATCACAAAGAGGCCAGGGCTCAGTCAGAACTTTCACAGGCAACACAGCTTCTAGCTATAATTTGTGGCATTATTTTATATTAATTGCATTTTTAAATCACACATGGAAAGTGATTTTTATCTTCACTTACTGAAATACTATAAAGCATTCCTTCTAAATTACACAAAGTAGTCCAACCTAATAAAAAAGATACCAAGTAATGATTGGCACACAAAAATGATAGAAAACATAAAGATAACACAGGTGAGGACCAAAATAGGGAAGTATCTGGAGAAATGGATGCAAATCCCAACTGTTTCTACACGCTGTGTGACCTATGAGAAATACCTTATCTTCTCTGGGCTCAGTTCCCTTATCTGGACAAAAGGAAGACAGCAACAGGACCTATTCCTCAGAATTAAATTTATGTAATGCCTAGTACAAAGGGATGTCAATGCTCAGTAGGTGTTAGAAGCCACCTACTGGTGTGGTTCGAATGCTGCCTCTTCCTCAGAGACCTCCTACACCAATCAACCTGAAGTTCTCCTCCCTCTTTCTCATGGTGCTTTTATTCTATTGTGAACCTTCACATATCCTGTCCTGCATATAGTTGCAGGGCGTTAGACTTTTAATGGGTCAGTATTCCACACAGGGCCTAGCACACAGTAAATGACTGCAAAGTCTTCAATTATAAATGGACTCTATTTTTCTTCATGAGTTTCGTTTAGAAAGACTTGTTCCTATTTTTCTTGGGGTTTCAAAAAAGAAAAAAAACCCTCACAGATCTCAATGTACTACAGAGTATTCAGGAAAACCTCAAAGATCCTGGGACAAGAATACTTGTTTAATATCACTGAAATCAGTATTGCACTTGATCTGGAACATGAGGTCCTGTCAAGAGAAAAAAGCCAAACAAGGGAAGTTATAGAGTCCTGGCTAGGAGGAGAAGAGGTAGAGGAACGAGCACACAGTGGACCACAAGGCAGAAGGTCAGCAGTGTACTCGGGACAAAATCAGACTCAGTGGACCCAAGGGATGGGAATATTTTGTGCAGGGCTTTATATAGTTAAAGCTGGGGCTGCAGTCATATGTAATTATGAATGTAACAAGGCCGACCCCTGCGTCCTATGTCTAGCAGCAGCATCTTGGGTGAAGTCAACTGTTTCCCTTTTTTCCAGAAGCTTCGACAGAGCCTCTTTGGAAATACCAGCCACGTCTTCAGCTGGGACTGGAGAAAGGCCCGCTTCAAAATCCATGATCCTTTCTCGGACCTGGCTTCCATACTGGAAGTGGAAAAAGTAAAGCTCATGCATGATTTTCTTAAAATCCCTAATATCATCTCCCTTACCTGTGTTTCCTTCTTATCTCCGCCCATATGACTACATTATAGATTTCATGTAGAAATACATGTGTAATTTACAAATTAATTTTAAATGATAAAAACCCAAAACTATGGCATATGGTCTGGGTTATAACAAAGCTCGCAAGTCCTTGCTCTCCCCACTGTCCTCCAAATTCTATTTTACCTATTCCTTCTCTAAAGCTCCTAAGCATCCCTGAAGATTCAGAAGGCAAAAGGAAATCTATAAACTTATTTCTGGCTTGTTTGAAATATCAATAATTCATATCATCAGTCGCTAGTCACACCTAAATTCCAAGGGCTGGCTAACTAGCTCCGAATCTCCTGCAAATTGAAAAGTCTGACAGGAGGCAGGAGCATGGTAATGAAAGAATGGAGGAAGACATAAATCCCCAAGCACTGGTCTGAAGGCTCCTCCAAGAGGCTACGGCTCCACATTCAAGCCTGGCGGTATATCGAGCCTCAGCCACCAGCCCTGGGGGTTGGCAGGAGGAGAATAAGCAATGATGTCCATTTCCAAGAGATTTCTCTGGCCATGCTGTCCCCAGTAGCTCCCCTACAATCATAGATCACAGCTCCCAGGCTTCAGGTTTTGTTCCGTTCACCCTTCTCCATTCCAGGGAGGTGCCCGGAGTGTTCAGATGGCTGTACAAGGATTCATCATCAAATATTTGTTATTTACCAGAAAAGGAAAAGACTGTAACTTTAACAGGTAAGAGTACTTAAAACAGTGGCCTATTTCACAAAAATCTTTATATGCTAAATAATCACAATTGAAATTTCGGGTTGGGTCAGGACAGCAGTCCGCCTTCCAGGGACTGTTTCTCGCCAAGGGGCTGCGTCATGTCACTGCTGAGCACCCTCCTGGAGCCACTGCCAGTACACCCCTGCAGCACTAATGCTGACAGGTTTATGCAGACCAAAATTAAGCAGCAGGCCTCAGGGGGATCACTTGTCTATATGTGATCAGAGTTTTAATCTCACACTTGTAGGGTGGAGAAGAGAAACTCGAAAATGAAGGATCTGTCCTCCTATTTAACCAGATCAAGGGACAATATCTGGTAGTCATTTTTTTTGAAAGATCAATTGAAACCTACTCAAATTTACCTTATTATTAGAAGTTGATCCTCTATCATGAGCAGATTCCTGTGCTAGATAGTAGAGGAAATATAAATCAGTAAAAGGTGTGTATCTACCTTCAGGCAAGATAAGTTATCACCCAAAACAAGAACTAAATGTATAATATATGCTAAGACCATGAATTTCCAGGTTCCATGGAAGCAGTGGGAATTCTTTATGCCCATGCTTTATTAAGCAAGTGCCCTCAGGAGGAGCCTGCGAGACTGAGTGGCTTGTCACTTTTCCATCCCTGGGACAATATACCCAATGCTCACAATTTAAAAGAGGAGAGGTTCATTTGGCTCACAGCTTCCAGTGGGCTCAGTCCACCTTCGGCAGGCTCCAAGGCAGGACCAGACGCAGAAGGGCTGGCAGAGCACAGCAGGGGTGCACAGCTAGCTCTTCCATGGCAGCTGGGAAGCAGAGAGATAACAGAGAGGCTGGTGACAAAAATGCAGCCTCTGGCTCACATGCCAGGGACCCACCTCTACCCAGACTCCACCTCCTCAGAGTAGGTTGTTTATTGTGATGAGATGATGCCCCTGTGAGCCAGTCACCTCACAAACACATGTGACCTTTGGGAGACCTTTAGAGCCAACCTGTGCCAGTGAGGGAAGCAGGACAGGGAGGGAGGAGTGACTGCAGAAATGCGTCCTGGGGATGCCAGCCTGATCCCAGGGGTGCAGGAGAGAGAAACCACAGTGAACAACTTGCCCTTCCTTAGTGCAGACAGCAGGGCTCCTGCGCCTTCCCACCAGTGAGTCGTTGGCAGCGGGCCGTCTGATAGAGAAGGCAGCATCGCTCCTCGCCCATTCTGGGCAAGGAAGCTTAGTGGCTCCAGCTCTGCAGAGCGCTAAAAGTCACTGACAGTAGGACATAAGCAGGCAGGGGACACACTCACCACCTGAGTCAAAGAGAACCTACGAAATTAAAAAGGAATACAGAGGCACACACGTGCTGCTGCCGTGTACAGAACTTAGCACAGCATCTGGCCTGTGGCAGGTGTAACAGCACTGTGCTGCAAGCGAGCAGAGCTCCCACCATGAGCCCCTGCCCCCCTCTGAGAGCAGTCACTCTCAGAGCCCTCTGTCTCAACTTCATGTCTTTCTTTATAAAGGCCATAGCTACAATGTTGAATATTTGGAAACAAGTCAGAGTGAGGCTCTATTGTGTAAAGGTGATGGGTGATTCCCAGGAAGGTTCCCTGAGCACAGAGTTCAGGTTCAGGACCCAGAAGACCTGTGCTCAAGTCACTGCTGTCTCCTTTTACAGTTACTGACAAGGGTCAACTACTTCACTCCTGTATAATAGTAGTATTACCTCAGGGGAGATGATACAGGTAAACAGTAGTGGGTGCAGGGAGTGCTGGGTGAGTGCGGCCTGAAGTACGCCTAATGTGATGTGTGGGCTGTGGGTAGTAGAAAAAGAGAGATGTGAATGCCTAGAGCACAAGTGTGTGAGGAACGCCATGGATGGGGAGAATGTTCTGGGATCCTTCTGGGGAAGAGGGTTTGACAGATGGAGGTCTGAGAGGAAAAACTTCAGGGATAATTTAGAGTTGAGCTTGAGAAGGGCATTTTGTTGTTTTTGTTTTTGGTACTGGGAATCAAACTCGGGACCTTGCATTTGCCAGGCAGAAGCTGTACTGCTGAGCTATATGCCCCTCCCCAGTGATGGGTGACAGAGCTCAAGCTGATCCTGCTGGAGTGCATTTCAGAGGACAGCACCTACCCTTCTGGGGTGTGATGGCACAGGATGGGACTGGCCACGATTACTAAGGCAAGCTATTCCCTGCTATGAGCACTTCAGCCACATTTATAGAAAAGGACACCGGGCCCTCCAATGACACTGTCATGTTGCAGATTTAGGAAGAAATCAAAGAGACACCACCTGGGTTTAGAAGCAAACATAAAATTGGAGGCCCCAAAACCTATCTGTCCATTTCACTGGTGTCCCCAACGCTTGCCTCCTGCACTGCAGCTTATGTGAGCTGAGCAAGCCCGAGCAGGAGCAGGCCCTGGCTTTGGCACTGGCTGGCATCCTATGGAACGCCGGAGCAGCTCAGAAGGCCACCGTCTGTCTTGTCACTGAGGACACTTACATTGCCTCAAGCCCTGATTACTGCAGGGACGGTTTCACCGAACAGGTAAGTGGACTCTGACCCACCCTGCAGGAGAAGAGCAAATGAAACCTGATTGCACAGGTGGAAACGGAGGCAGAGCGCCCCTGCCGCTGCTGCTAGTGGCTTCTGGGGCCAGAGACCTCTTTCAAATGCGCAGGCCCCAAGGGCTGTCAGTGATGCACACAGTCTGATGTGAATTTCTCCTTCCAGAAATCACCATGATCAAGAATAGCCCACATCTGAAAGCGACATACACTGAATTTCCATATCAACTGTCTTAAAGACAGCTAAACTCTACCTATCAGGGAAAAAAATCTGTTTATGGTTTCATGTCTTAGAATATCACAGTAACTTAAAACTAAAAGAATACAAAAGTGATGCCAGTAGCCACCCAATTTCACCATGCATGCTTTACATGGCCTCATGCAAGATAATATGTCAGTTTTTATCAACGTGATTTTGTAATGAAACAAAAACCTCCCTTGAGGTAATAACAGTGAGTTGACATCTCTTAGAAGTACCTTTCATCTTCCTTTTCATTTTTATCTCTATTCCTGATTTATAGCTCCAGCTGTTTGAATTTTCAGAGAGAGAAGCCGCTGAGAAATTCATCTATGATCATTTACAATGTGTAAGTGTTTAAATGTTGAGATAATTCCTTTATGCTGAACTGCTCTTACAGGAATCTTCTTTCTTTTATAAAGTATATTTCTAATGATGCTTGTTAAGAAAACCAGGTCATTTTGAGGGCTAAGAAAGGGCGGAACAGGAGAAAAAGAAGCCTGCCTCTCCCTCCCTACAACCCAGAAAGAGGCCAGATCACACAAAGACGCACTTACAAATGCCTCTTTTTTGTTGGCTAATCAACCCCAGAGAATAGAGGACACATAGCAGGGTTTCTTTGTGGGAAGTAAAAACCTGAAATCAGTCTTACCTCACCTAATGGATAAAAACAGAAATGGTAGAAAACCGAAGCCCTCATGTAAGCTGCCAGAAAGATCATCCACACCAACCTCAGGTCAATGACTTCTGGCCTACAGAGATAGGTCCCGTTTCACCTCTTCCAGCAGCACTTTCCATGTGACATCTGCCACTGCAGATTCTTTGCCACGCCAGGGTGGGGCGGGGACAAAGTAGCAGGCAGTAACGGTGGTAAATGGAAGGGGCTTTTAAAAGACTCATCTGCAAAGAAAGCAAGGAAAGCTGCTTTTTTGAGGAATCAGAACCCTACCGGTGTAAGGAAGGGATAATTATCAGGATAATCACGAAGCCAATTCAACGTTAGAGGCTAAGGAAATGGAAGCGTGGCCAGTGGAACTCACTGCCCCATTGCTTTTAGAGGCTAGAGGCAGAACAGGTGGGCGTGAGTGCTTGGACACATTCTAGCCATATGATCTGAAACACGATTGTCCCAGGCTTAGCTCCCCTGCCTTCTCCTAGGCCTATTAATGTGACAGGCAGAAGAACAGTACCCCCAAAGATGTCCATCCCCTACCCCAAGAACTATGAACACACTACGTTACATGGCAAAGGAGAATTAGATGGCCAATCAGATGACTTTAAAAATAGGAGGATGATCCCGAATTTGCAGATAAGCCCAATACAAGTGGGAGGGGCCTAACTATGGAAGGCAAAGGCGTGAGAAGTCAGGGGGAAACGCTGTGGAAGAGTGTCGTGAAGACGTGAGAGGGGAGCGCAAGCCAGGGAAGGTGCGGAGGGGCTTTCATCCTTGTGTGGAAAGAACAAGGAAACACATTCTTCCTGTGTCTGGGTGGCAGTTTGAGTTTGGCTCGGGATGACCTGTTTTGTGTTTTTAAGCTCCAGAACTATAAAACAATACTATGTATATTATTTAAACTTTTTGTTTTATTTTACTTTATTTATTTATTTATTTATTTATTTATTTATTTATTTATTTGGTACAGGATCTCACTACAAAGCTCAACTCGTAGTGATCCTTCTGTTTTCAGCTTCCACAGTGCTGCACTACAGGCCTGTGCCACCACGCCTGGACTCAGTGGCCGGTTCAGCACACCCACGGGTGGGGCCAGTGCAGCCGGGTCGAGCCCAGTCCCTGTGCTTGCTTAAACAGGTGCTAAGTCCACTGAGCTACCTCACCAGCCCATTTTTAAGCTTTTAGAAATTGAACTCAGGGCCTCACGCCTCACCATACTAAATACTGTATGTGATCTACTCATCTATTACTGAGCAACACCTCCAGCCATGATTTAAGCCATTAGATTTGTAGTAATTTGTTTTAGCAACAATATAAAACTTGTATGAAGGATTTTAAATTCTTGATATGAAATGTTAAGAAAGAAATCTGCTTAAGGACTCTTTGTGGGAGCAGGACATTTAATGGAATTATGCATGTATAAAAGCATTTAGGAAAAGACCCCTTTCAACAAAAAAGAAACCTCTGTCTTCCATCTCCTCCACTGCAACCTAGGAGAGTCTGATTCAGTAGAAAGGACACCTACATCTGCAATGGATTTTTAAGTGTAGCTCCAGTTCAGCTGAGAGGATCAGACCTGGAGCTACACAGGCTCTTCCAAAGATGGAGTAGAACTGCAATAATACTGAAGTTCCCCAGTAGAGGCACACACTGCACTGAGCACAGGCTGGCACGAGAGCCATCTGTGTCAAGCCAACCATGCTATGCAGCACTACTTTAGCTTCCCAGGGAAAACTGAGCTTCATATGCTGAGTGAAGAGTAACCTGCTGGCATATGTATTCCTCTCAGGAGCATCACCCCTAGCTGGGGCTGCGTGCTGTAATCAGCACCTCTTAGTCAAACCCGTTCACTATCAAAATGTATCTGTCCTATGTTCCCATCCTATTTAAGCAGGGACCTCAGGCTAGTGGTCTGAGGCTTCATATAGGCAGAAGACCAGCTGAATTTTGTCCCCTCAAAAATATATGTTGAAGTCCTAACCTCCCATTCCTGGGAGTGTGATCTTATTTGAAAATAGAGCCTTTACAGATAAAATCAAGTTAAGATGAAATCATACTTTCAGTAGGCTATAATCTAGCAACTGGTATCTTTATAAGAGGAAAAACTTGGTGCTATGGTTGGTGTTTAGGTGTCCTTCCAAAGCTTCCTGTAGTCATAGCGCAGAATTCTAGAGTTTGTGATTAGTTCATGATCCACTGGGATTATGGGTATGAGTGCTGCTGGGATTATGCGTGTGAGTGCTGGGACTATGGATATGAGTACTACCCCCAGTCTAGGGCAGATAGCCTGAATGCAACATAAGGGAGACAGACTTGCTCTCTGTAGCCATTGTTGCTGCTATTCCTCCCATTTGCTCCCTTGCTTTTTGCCTCTGCCATGAAAGGTTGCTCTGCCTTGGACCCAGCTGAGTATGGACTGAAACCTCCACTAACTATGAACTAAATAAACCTTTCCTCCCTTCATTTTGAGGCTGAGTATTTGTCCCAGCAATGAGAGAAAAGTAACTGAGATACTTGGATAGAGACAAATGATAAGAATACTATGGGAAAAAACAAGGAAGATATTAAAGCAATGCTTCTACAAGCCAAGGAATGCCAAGGATTACCTGCAACCAGAAGAAGCTGCAAAGACACAGGAAGGGTCTTTGTCAGGGTCTGCAGAGAGAGCAAACCCCACACAGAAACCTCGAGTCCAGACTTCTCGCTTCTACCACTTAAGAGAATAAACTCCAATTGTTTTAAATCATTCAGATTTCTGATAATTATTATCAGTGCTGTCAGACACTAATACACCTATAGTACTATATATTATGTATAGTATTACTTCACATAATATTGTAATTAGTGCATGTCAAAAACAATAAGAAAATTCCACATAAAGTACTGAATTTGAATTTTTTTCTTCCGGCCACTTTGGGCCTATATTCTCACATGCCCTGGATTAGCTGACAGATGGGAGACAGCTACACCCATTAAACAAACTGCATAGTCTAAGTGCCCACATTCTAATCATACCCAGAAACCTGTGGGCATGATTCCTACCTGGGAAGAGAGATTTTGTAGGTGGGATCTTGAAATGGAGAAATTCCTCTGGATTATGAAGATGGTCCCAATTAATCATAGGCATCCTTATAAGAGAAAGAAGGTGGCAAGAAAACTAGAGCAGGAAATGCAATGAGAAAGACAGAGGGAGAAAAATCTAGGTTATGTGGAGCCACAAGTCATACAGAAGCTGGAAAAGGCCGAGAAACTAATGTCCCTGTCTAGTGACTCTTTTCTGATTGCTGAGACAAATACCTGACACCCAAATTGAAGGAAGGAAAGGCTTGTTTAGCTCACAGTTACTGAAGGTTTCAGTCCATATTTAGCTGGCTCCAAGGCAGAGTGGCACAAGGTAGAGGGCAACCTTTCATGGTGGAGGCAAAGAGCAAGAGCAAGAGCACAAAAGAAGGAGTAGGAGCAGCTCAAGCAGCTGGCTTCTCTTCCCTCCTTACATTGTGATGTAAATTACCTGCCCCAGGCCAGGTGCAGCATCCACACCCACAATAATCAATCACAAACTCCAGAGGCCGCCCCAAGACTGCATGAGGCTTTGGGGGTCATCTAGACACAAACCAAACAGTCTCCTAGAGCCTCCTAGTCTTAGTTACTTTTCCTTGTTGCTGAGACAAAGTGCCCAATCCTCAAAGTTAGAGGAGGAGAGGTTTATTTTGTCTCACGGGAGATTTCAGCCCACATCTAACTGGTTGTGTAGCAGGATGGTGTGGTAGAAGAGCAACACCAGGGAGAAATGGCTCATGGTGGGCAGGAGGCAGGCAGGCTGCAGCTCAACAAGGAAGCAGCAAGCATGACAGTGGAAGCCTTCACTCTGTCTCTTATATTCTATCCATGCTACTTGCCCTTAGGGTTGAAGGTGAAGACTAAGAGAATGACTGGTAAGCATGAAGCAAGGAAGGAGGGTACACTGGAGAGAGAAAAAGTCAATCTATGGAGGCAGAGGGACCCCCGTCCTCTCGGCAGCTGGGTGAAGTGAGAGCTTCGCCCAGGCTGCGAACCTTGAAATTCATACCCGACAATATTCACCTATGCATTGCTCTCAAACAAAAATGCTTTTCTTTTGTTTTCCAGTTTAAAGAGGAAGGAAGCCATGGTGTTATCCTATTTCTTTACAGCCTAATCTTCTCCAGAACATTTGAGAGGTAAAAATCTACAATTGTCTGTGCAGGTATTTCCTATAGGACTAGGACCTCATGTACTCTTGGGTTTGACAAATATTCTCATCTCTCTGGTTGTTTGTTTGTTTGTTTTGCAGATGTTCTGCTGTTGACACATCTTGTTCTGTAGGTGGTTTAGCCATATGGGTGGACAAGTGGATATCAACAATCAAATAAATAAATTCTATTATTTAGATCCACACTAAAATATATCCTCAAATATTTATATTGTCACTATCACATGGAAAGCCCTGTTCTTGGCACTTTAGAAAATACACATAAGAGAAGCTATGTGTACTCAAACTTTCCAGTTTGGAAAAGACAGAGTATACATTTAGAGAGGTAGATGAGTCCCAGGTGGCACCTGACCTGCCAAATAAGGAGTAAAGATGAGTCTTAGCAAATACTGGAGGACAAATGTTTTTAGCAGACAGGAAATTCAGGGAAAGCTTCCTGAATGAAGTGGACTTTTTTCTGGGCCCTGAAAGAAAGACAAACCTCTGAGAGTCAGACAAGAGAGAGAAGGCTCTCAGGAAGGAGAATGACAAGCCCTGAAGCAGTGTTCCTAATACTTGTCTTTCACATTTCATTGTCACTTCTTTGATAGTCTATATTATTATTTGCTTAATCATTTTCTTTAAATCAACACACATTTAAATATCAACTTGTTCTTGCGCATTAATATTCCATACATTAATATCTTCCTAAACATTAATGAATAAAAGATTAAAGACTTTAAAATTAAAATGTCAATATTACTAAAATTTGTAAATGATTGCATCTATACATCTAAAATCATGTCATACTTTGGGAAACACTGCCCTGAGTTACACTACCAAGGCATGTACAAATCTTGATCCAAGTTCTTAGATACTATTCACAGAAAAACATTACCTCCAGTCTTATGAATAGATTCAGTCAAAAACATACACAGGAAATAGGAAGGGATTCTGGGGGTGGGAAGAGATGGGAGGGCAGAGAGGGAAGGAGAAGTAAATAAGATTACTATAGGACATGTATGTGTGCCAGTTCTCTGAGATGAAAGAACATATACAGCTTCTCTCAGTCCTGGCCACCTCCTTCTGGGTGCACAAAAGCCACCTTCCACCTGGGTCTTGTGTATTCAGGGATAGCACTCCAGCCCCTGGCCCCAGTCTGTCTGCTGCCAAGAACTGAGCTCAATAGTCACTGTGGTGTTTTCCATGTGAACAGTCTGCTCAGCCCCGCCTTGGTCTAGAACTCTCTATGTAGTCATATGTTACCACCCTGAGCCTAGTGTCCCTGGCACACAGAGCCTACAGCTTCCTCAGTGAGCGTACCATATCCCTGGAGCCCCCACACAGGGCTTCTAGAGTGTAAGATCTGCATCTCTTCCCTTGTCATCTATCACATGTGTGCCTTGTGGGCATCCATAGCTTCCCTGGCACTCCTGAAACCAGAGTCCTTATGGACAAAAGTGAGCGACAACAGGAGCCCACTCTTCTGCTTCTCCATTCTGCAGGCTTCAGAAGGACCTGGATGTCACCACCACCCATCTGCTACAGCCACATGCTGGAGGCTTCCTCTGCAGACAGGTGCGTGGGAAGACCTCACCTTCCTATTGTAGAATCTGAATTAGGACTGTTTTCTAAGTACATTCACTCTTTCAGCAAAGAGTGTCAAATTACCTTTGAAAGATTAAAAAGATGATATTAAGAGTTGTCAGAATCTACCTTCCAATTTTTATTATGGTGCTCTCAAATTTACTTCTGAGAGTCTCATATTCTTGATATTCTAGAAGCATTAGAAAATATTCTGGGGCCAGGGAGGTAGCTCAGTAGTCTAAGCGCCTGCCTGGCAAGCATAAGACCTGGATTTGATCCCTGATGGCTGACACTGCATACTGTGCCAGCCCTGCCCCAGGCACACTGTGCTGGTCACAGAAACTGGCAGTGGTGGTGCATACCTGTAATCCCAGCACTGGGGAGGCTGAAACAGGAAGGTCACTACGAGTCCAAGCTGCATAGAGAGATTCTGTACCAAATACATTAATTAATGAAAATAAATTTTAAAATATTCTGATAAAATTCACCAGTTTTCCCTAATATCTGAAAGAGAAGTGCTATAGAAGTATCTTAGCTCTCTGCTTAAATCACAGTGGAAACCAGTGTTTAAAAGAAATGTCAAGGGAAGAAGGGCAACAAGAACAGAGGGGGAGTTCCTTTTTTTAAAAAAAAGTCAATAAACTATTTTTTTTAACTCTAATGAATGTTTAAGATTTTTTTTTTCAGATTTATATGTCTTGTGTGGATTCACACTTTCTAGCAAAAAAAAAAATCATTGTAATGATTTTGAAAAAGGAAACAAGTCCTTATTCACTGCTACCTCAAACATAAATATTTTTAAAATATGCCATCCAGGCAGTTCTGAACCTGGTTTTAACTGGAAGAGCAAGTCCAAATGTCTTCAACGGCTGCGAGAAGGGAGAGTCCCAGGAGAGGTTACATGGAGTCCTGGCCCGCAGTGAGATTGGCTATTTGCAGTGGTGTCAGGACAGCTCTGAGGACAACAGACTCTCCCAGGTGAGTGAGCTCTGGGTCTCAGCTGCACAACTAGAATGTCAATATGTTTGACATTTTTAAAGTCTGTACTAAGGCCATCCAAATCTGAGCCTCCTATTTTACTTAGTGCCTTCCTGCATAACCCTAACCCATCTCACACACATACACACTCAAGAGCCAAATGGAATCATCCAGTTCTATTTGCTTCATATTTAATTTTACATATTACTAATATATAGAGAGTTTAGGTGATACGAATCCTATGTAAAAACAGTGTCTGACATAGACAAAAAGGAAGTCCCCTTTCATTCCCAGGCAACTTTGTATTCCCTTCGCAGACACAAATACTGTCAGCTGATGGGTGTCCTCCCTATCCTTTATATATGCAAATTAATGTCTGTATTCTACATAGCACTGCAAGCTTTTTGAAAGAATACTGAAAAAGAAGGCCCACTTAGACAACTTCTGTCAAACGTATTTTCAGCTCAGATTTGCAATTTCTGAAAAACCAGCACATAAAATGTGCTGTTGAAAAGCACAACCAAAGCACTAAGATGTGATCCTGTGAAAACAAACAAGAGGCTGAGCAAGAGAGCCCACACGCGCACCCAGACCAGGAGGCTGAACAAGAGTCGACACGCACACCCCAGACCATAAAGCAGAGCTTTCCTGGAATCCTTTCACAAAACTTTTCATCCAAAACCCAGGAAAGCAACGCCCATTCTGTGGAAAGCCATGCTGCTCTAGAGTGGCTCTGAAAACGCCTAGGATGGTGCCTCTTATGCCCAACCTCCAACCACCACCAGCAGCAAGAAGGCCACTACTCAGCACCTGTCTGGTCCTGGTTCCACCTCAAATTATCCTCTGTGTGTGTGTGTGTGTGTGTGTGTGTGTGTGTGTGTGTGTGTGTGTGTGGCTTCACTGTCTGCAAGGCGCCTCCATATCCACAACTGCATCTGTCTTTTCTCCTACTATAATGTCCAGCAATTATATGTTATTCATAAAATCAGCATCTCTGGTAGTTGTGTCTAATGGTTTTGAGATAACCATGCCCCATTCTGGCCATAATATATTTTGGGTATAGTACATGCCTGTAATTCCAGGTACTAGGAAGGCTGAGGCAGAAGGATCACAAGTTCAATCACAGCCTGAACAACTTAGCAAGAACCTGTCTTTTTTTTCAAGTATTTGGCATTTCTACTAGTATATATTTGCAGTAATAATGATTACATTCGTCGTGGGGAGTTGTACACGTACACAACACACTAACACTTTTTCATTTCCCTTTTTCCTCCTCCACTCTTTCTCCTTTCCATCTCTTAGTCCCCTTCCCATTTGCAAAAACATCCTACTTTGAAAATTAAAAACATTGGGCCAGCCAGATAGCTCAGTGGACTAAAGCTCCTGCTTAGGCAAAGCAGGGCCAGGGTTCGATCCCTGATGTGCTGTGTCAGGGCGTGCTGAGACAGTGACTGAGACTGGGCGTGGTGGTATGTGCCTATAACGCCAGCACTTGGGAGACTGAAAGCAGGAGGATCACTGCCAGATCTTGTAGACCCAGCACTAAATACATGAAAAAGAAAAAGAAAATTAAAAACATTAAAAGAGGAATATGAATAGCTCAGTGAAAGAGAGGTTGCCTAACACAATGGAGATTCTGGGTTTAATCCCAGTATTGAAAAAAAAATACAGAAATTATTTTTTACTGTTTCTTGAGTTTATAATCTGTGTTCATCACATAAAAAATGAGAAGTGACTAATAAACTGAAACAAATTAATTCAATCACATCACCCAATAATCAGTATTTTCAGAAACCTCTTCTTTTCTTCTTACATAAATTCCCTATTTTTCTTTACTGACGCCCATTCTTCACACCTAACACAAATGTCTTCATATGTCAATGAGTACCTGATCTCTGGTGCATCTAGTGGGTGCAAAGAGTCCCTTCCTACGACTGTGAATGTCTGGGCTCTGAAGACATCCTGGAGAGAAAATGGATTGGGTATTGTTAAAAACTCCCTAATTACTTTTTTGCAGAAAATTTGGGAAATCATCTTAGAATTCTATAATTATAATAAAAAATAAAATGAAGCTGTAAATGGGAGATTTATAGATTCATTTTATATATTTTTCTTTTCTTTCAACTATACCTGGTCTAGCATTCTGTACTTCTCAGAACCCAGTCATATGGCAGCATTCTGTTTGGAGATGCATAGAGGGATACCCGGAGCCAAGTTTCAGTGGGTGAAGGTGCAAAGTGACAAGAATTTTAGTGTGCTGTGCATTTCCCCAAAGCTCTTTCACAACGTTGTTAAATACTCCCCAAACTAGTCATGTCTTTGTACCACCTCTGCTATTACTTCTTGCTATTTTTTTTTTAAGCAGAAGGGTTTGGGGTTTTGTTTGTTTGTTTGTTTGGTTGGTTGGTTGGTTAGTTGGTTGGTTGGTTGGTTGGTTGGTTTTTTCCACTCCGAATGCCTTCAGGGCAAGTTTGGCTGGCTTGAGTGGTGGGGATTGAACCACAGCAACCTGAGCCTGACTGCTTTGTTGAAGCAGCCACTTAAAGAACTGAGCTAAGGGGCAGGCCCCCACTTGCTATTTAAAAAAAAAAACCAATTCATGTTTAAAATTTGAACCTAACTTTTTCTACAGCAGTAACATAAGCTGTGTGCTTGCTGTGTTAACTGCTTTTTTCATAATGCACAGTAAGTGAATAAACACTGCCTTCTAAAATCTATTCCCTGTGCCACCAGTGAACACACTTCCTGCATTCAGAACTCTGGTGTGCAGGGAAGCAGGTTCTTTCAGCATGTGAGGAATGACACTAGCCTGAAATCCGCAGATCCGGCTGGAGGCTTTGCACTCCGGAGTGAATCGACTTCCCCCGCTGAGCCTGGTTCCCTGTCTGCATGCACCTGCCCTGCACCCGTAGGACTGATGCAAAGAGCAAGCAAAATTATGACTGCTGGAGCCCTTCAGACAGCCAAACTATTCTATGCATTAAAAGAAGTCGTGATAGACAATAACAAGGAATAATGTTACGGTGCATTATTCAGCCTCCTTCACCTCGCACCTACTAATTTGGAGTCTTGGGCCCAAATACAAAGAGGAGTGGTTCCTGGGCCAGACATGAACATACACTGATTGCCACAGAAGGATGTAGGTGACACATGTTGGAAAGCTGTGAGGTCCCTGACTACTCTAAACACACCTGGAGAACTTTGAATGTTATCAGTGCCTGGTCATTCCTTGGAACAGTGCCAGCGCCATGAGTATGGGACTTGTGCCATCACACGGGGTCCCACATTGTTAAAAATTATTTACTAAGTGGTTGAAAAATCACTGTTCTAAAGAAAGGAGGAAATTAAACCTCTAAGTCAAGCTGATTAACTCCATGGCGTACAGAACGGGGTGTGCTCTCTCTCAGCTGAATGCCCAAGAAAGTGTTTGTGTTCTTTCAGTGAGTTCTCAGAAAGGCTGACAGCTTTTTTGTCCTTTTTAACATTTGCGGAGCTTTGGGGACAGGTTTCAGGGTTTATTTTAAGTTAAAACTGAATGGGTGTCTGTGAAATAGTTTCTAAGTTTCTCTGAGTAAAGGGACTATAACAGAGTGAGTTCATGTCACCAAAGAGAGTGCCTTCCAGACTCCAGAATCCATAACGATCCAGCCTCACTGTTCTGTCCTGGATCGCATTTTTTGCTACCTAAATTGGCTCAGACCAACAAACTGCGCAATTATGCTCTAAAGAAAATTACCTGTAGAGCTAAAATACCCTGTAATAAGAAAGAGGATCTTTGCCAGGACCTCAGAGTCAGTCAAGAGTCCACAGCACAAGGTAAGAATTAAGAGCTTCCCACGAGGAAGAAGGCCGCTGCACCAGCACACAGTGCCACCGCGCCAAGACTTGCTCACTGAGTGGAAGGAGAATAGAAGGCAGAAGCTGCCTGTGGCTTTAGCATCTAAATAGGAATCAAGTCTACACTGTGTCCAGCTTTCTGGAAAATGGCTAATGTGGCTTTTCATCCTTTTCTCTTGGACACTGTGTCCTCTCCCCCAGGAGATGCCTACAAATGTTGCCCTCAGTGAGAAGTGCCTGCAATTGTTCGCTAATGGCTTGAGATGTTGGGACACTTATTATGTTGTCTGTGTCACACACTTGGACTTCAGTTTCAGAACAAAAAATACTAAAGGGCAACTACAGGTTGACAGTTAATTTTCTTATCTGAAAATCCTGAGACATATAAATATGTAAAACACATTCATATAAAGTTGATATTACCTGAAGGAACTTTTTTTATTCTCTCCACATCAGTTAATTATTGGGGATGAAGGCAATCCTGAAGCCCTGGCCGCATCTCTAGGGATAAAAGCAATCCTTAATTCTATACTCACACACATGTGTATCGGTTCTTGCCACTCCTAGTGGATGATAATTAAAGGAAACATAAATGTGCAGCCTTTTTCACTCAGTGTAGCACTAATATGACTGTGTACAAAGCACCTACTATATGCCAGGGCTTTCTATAACACTCATTTGCACTGATGTTACACTTAATCCTCACCTCTACAGAAAGTTGTAAGCAGTGCCACAGACTGGACTTATCTTTTAATAAATAAATAAAAGCTAAATCCAATCTGTTGCAGAGTCCTTGATTTTAAAGATAAAAGAGCCAGACAGAACAGGTCTAAGAACCTGCCCAAAGCCATCAGCTAGGTAAGTACGGGCACCTGCCTGATATACTGAGCTAATTCCACATAAAACTCAAAGAATGTCCACTGTGTGTTCTGCTGGTCATATCTTTGTGCACTCTCTAGTAATTATAAATATATAAATACCAGTTCTTGGGATTGTCCTCTATCCTCAGCTCTTTAATGATCTTCTACATATACATCTGCGTTGTGTAGTCTGTGTCACGTTGTAGGTATACTGATGTTGTCTTATCACTTAGATGGGGGCAAGTCGTGACGAGGTTTTGATCATTGTGCTAATCAAACTAGGACTTAATCCCCTGAGATCTAGGGTAAAGCGGTTGTGAGTTTGTGCTCACCCGGGGGGCACTCACTCTCTAAAGCATTCGCTTCCCCTTGGCTCCTGCCTGGGCAGTTGCCATCTGTCAGAGTCAAGAAAGGTGCCTTGGAAACTGTCCACCTTAGTCCAAGCTCAGAGGCACTCGGAGATGTGCTAGGGAGGAGAACTGCCCGATCTGCCTGCAGTCGACCCAGCAGCCTACTATTTCACAACCCTGTATAAAATTGAAGCACTGCGCAGATCAGAAGTTGGCTTAGAAATAAACATGACATGGCTCCAAAACCATGTTCTCCAGATGGCTGGACTGAAGACCACATGCAGCCACTGCCCTTCCTTTGTTCCAAGACCTATTGGCCCTGTACAGGACCTCTATAGGCACCTGAAGATAGGTGCGTATAGTATTTAGTAGCTCTTGCCTAGGGTGGGTATGATAAGCCTCAATATATGTGTATGTACTGATGATATAAACCTAATACAGAAGGTTTCTGAATTCAAAAGAAAACCCGTGGTAGCACCTTCTGACAGCCAGATTGTGTTGTCAAGGTGAAAGCCATCCTGCAAGGCTGCTTTTGTTTGCCCTAAGTCAGTTTCTCCTTACTCTGTGATAAAACTGCCGAGGCTGCAAAAACACACTCCTTTCAGTCCCAGCGTCTCAGCCCTGTGGGTGCAAGTTAAAAGAAAAAGAAGATAGAGTTTTCATTAGATGACACAAGTGAGCCCCCCGGAGCCCACCAGGCTGACGGTTCCTGCAGGATGCTGCCAGCTACCCGCAAGATGAAGGACTGTTCTGAAGCCTCGTTGCTACTTTTCTACGTGAAGGCACAGGTCTGAGGTCCCAGGACCTACGTGAGAACATCAAGCAGCTGGAGCCCAACACCATCTGGAAAGCCTCAGGAGCTCATATTATCTTCACACCTGCCACTGAGAAGAGAAATCAACTCTGATTTTTAGAAGAGACTGAAGCCATTTAGATCTCACCAGAATTACTCCCCCGGCAGCCCTGGCAGCATGCACCGCCATCCCCATGGTGCCTTCTTCCCTTTTACATCTTCCCTCTGGAGAGCCTGATAGGAGCCTCAAAAGTGCCAAATGGAGCTTCACTCCCGGCACTGTGCCACCGAGTCAGTGAGGTCGTTCCCTGCAAGCAAGATCTGTTTTGTCTTTACCACATTCCTGCAAACGTGGTGAGAGAAGTTACATCAACTCTGTTCCAGGTGGCAGAGTGAGAGCCAGGCCATTAGCAGTGATGCGCAGTAACTATCACCAGGCCGTGGTGAGGAGAAGCACAAGTTTCCAGTACCTTCCTCCCGTTTACATTACAAGCCTGGGGCCTTGAGACTTGCAGTCTCAAGCTCACCGTGCAAAGGCACATTCTAAGTGCCGTCGTTCTAGACAGCACGAAAAAAGAATAAGAGGGCCTCAGTTCCTGCCCTCCTGTGGGTAGAATTTGTCCATTGTTCTTCCAATCCTAACTTCACATTGGCTTAAAGGATACATATTATGAAAGGATTGTTTGCTGCATGCAATACTGGAACTACTGGGCTTATTACACAATGAGTGAACCCAAGGAGAGAGGTACTTTATTTATAGCACCGCTGTATCACAATTTAATTTCCTTTTTACCATGGCAACATGTGCAAATTCAGAATTGGTGGAATCTCACCAATAAGACACATTTAGAATCCTGCATTTGGAGGCTAACTGGTAAACTATGTCTATCCAAAAGCAACACGTACTTCTTAAAACAGATATTCCAGTCAAACTTCTTACATAGTGCGGCAGGAAGAGTAGGGAGTGTGACAGTGGACTGGATTCAGCCAGCAGGTGCTTCGCTTTGCTTGCACAGGACTTTTTCAACTCCAGTGTGTTCTCAGCCCTAACCTTGAGGCCTATCTCAAGTGAGCTTGAGATCTTCCACAGGAGGCACAATCAGGAGATGGCCTAAGGAAGGGCTTGTGCTAATGAATGCTCGCAATGCTGTCCGGAACGTGGAGGTGGACATTTGGGACATAAACCTGTAGGCTGCTTCAGTGGCACACACTATTTTGCTTCACACGAGCCAGCAGGCAGGCCGGCCCCATGCTCGATGCCTGAGTTGCTCATGTCATCCTTACCCAAGGGGGACTAAGTCTGGTGTAAAAAGATGCACACTCACCACGATCAAGTCTTGATGGGGGTGTTAGGCTTGCACCTTTCCAAAAGCTACCTGGTAAGGCTGCTGTTTCTTTAAGCACTGTAATATGGTTTGTCCGTGGAGCTAAAGGCAGAAGCCCCTTTGGTTCACCCGCTCATCCCCATAACTCAAGAATCAGAACTGAAGAAAAAGAAGAGATCTGAACAGAATTCTTGAAAAATCAAAATGCCATGCTGCCAGCCTTTCATGCTTGGGTTCACAAAGCGTGTGATAATTTTTCAAAGCTGGGTTTTCGTTGAAACAGAATGTGTCCCTGGCCAAACAGTATAACTCTAAGGACTGGGAAGGAAAGAAACAAAATAGTAGTGTTGGATCCTTTGATGATAGGAAGAAGCTTTGAGCCAAAGGGTCCAGTAGCAATTCTTGGCATCATATAGAACCCGTGGGATTTTCCATATACCTTATGTTATCTCTATAAGTACAATAAAAACCTGTCTTAATGAATTGTGAAATCTTTTTTAAACATATGTTTTCTTGTATCTTTAAACACAATGATAGATGCAAATGTATTATAATGCCAGGCACTGTCGTGAACACTTGCTCTGAGGGAGGCTGAGGCAGGAAGAGCATGACTCTGAGGCCAGCCTGAGCAACACAGGGAGACCCCATTTCACAAAAAGTTAAAAGAACCAGTGTGGTGGTGCATGCTAGTAATCCCAGCCTTGAGAGGCTGAGGTAGGAGGATCGTTACAAGTCTGAGACCAGGCTGAGCTACAAAGTGAACTCAAAGTCAGCCTGAACTGTATAACAAGACCCTGTCTCAAAACAAAACACACACACAAAAGTTAAAATGGAAAGAAGGAAATAAATGTACACATCATCACAGTCCCTCCGAGGGCTGTTGATGCACAACCACCTCCTTCTACTCTCGGGCTCTCCAGGGCAGTAGTTCTGTGAACCTTATTCACTAGCTGTGAGAATTCAAGGACAAAGTGGCAACTGCCAGGAACAAATAGACAACAAGCTGATGAAAACACTAAACTGGATACTGTATGTAATATTAAGCCAGTCTGCTCCAAGTACACCTTCCCAACTCATCTGTTAACTTCTAGATATATGTGTATGTGTTTATTCTCATTTCCCAAAAACTTTTTCCTAAATTCTAAGTACCTTTTTTCTATAGTTTCAATAACTAGTAGTGCCAGTCTGAATGCCTGCAAAATACTCTCCACCTTGGAAATAGGAGCAAAAGCACTAGTCAATGGCAAAGATGAATTATTTCATTGCTATGTTTTCAGTGTACTTATTATTTACTTCAGTTTAAAACCAAACAGAATTCTCTACCCCCTCCATGAGGCCACTGATTTTTTTTTAATACAATCCATTAAGAGAAAAAGCCCAGCATCACTGCTATACTCCTCATAAAAACAAATTCATTCATAATGAAGCCTTGGTTTCAAGTCTTTCCCCCAATCCGATCAGTGCACAAATGCACAGGTAATGAGGGGCCTTAGAGCCGCTTTTGATCACGATGACCCATCAACCCCTGTTGCAAGCTGGCAAAGTCTTCTTCTCTGCATTCCCTTCTCCCCTTGCAGGTGGGCAGCATGCTGAAGACCCCTAAATTTCCTATTTGGCTGTGCAACATCAATGGAAGGTACAGCATCCTTTTTTGCACCAACAGACAGCTCTTATCGGACTGGAAAGTGGAGCGTCTCTTTGATCTGTATTTTTACAGTGGCCAGCCCTCGCAGAGAAAGCTGGTGCAGCTTACCATAGGTGAGCACTTCGGCCTCCCCAACTCACATCTTTGAAGGTACCCCGAGAAGTGCTGCGGTACTGCCGGCTGCATGGAGTCAGCCAGCTCCGCAGGACAGTGCTTGGGCTTGGTGTCTGCAGCGAAGCCCATGATGAAATCCCCTCGCTCTAAACCCAACCATTGTAGCGTGAAAATTCTAAACCTGCTTTCAAAAGGAACAGTGTAATGAGTAGAAATAACAGAGAAACAAACAACTTTTAGGTAAGAGAAATCAAAGGGTGAAGTGTCAAATTTCCCAAAAGCCTTTTCGAGCCCTTTTGTGCTTGAGCAGGAGCAAACAATTCTTGGGGAAAGGTGTGCCACAGCCAAGGGACCCAGAGACCCCCCAAAGGGCCAGGTCTGTCCCACAACCCAACACCAGACTATCATCTCATGATCAAAGTACCCATTTCTGCTCTAAAAAGCATTAGTTTAAAAAGCCTTTTTAAAAAATTGTCTACTGTGGGAAAGTCACCCTGAATAAGCACCACACAAGGAACTCTTCCAGAGGCCCCTGCCCATGGCAGACTCAGAACACCAGCAGTTCATTTCATTTCAGTTAAAAATCACAGCTTTTCAAACTCACGAGCGGAACTAAAAACCAACCTTAAAATGTTTTTAAACATCGGTCTCTTTGGCAAGGTATTAAAAGTGGACAGACTGGTAGTTGTTCCGGGAGCCTGGGGACTGCCTGACTGCCCTGAGCACCGCAAGCCAGGTATTACATAACCTGCACTGTTATCACTGCATTTGGAAGTCTTGGTGACTATTTTATCTGCAGCTCCTACATATTTTTTCAATTATAAGAAATATATACGATTTGATTTGAAACTGTCTCATTGCTATATGTTTATCAATAAAACTTTGAAAAGAAAAAAAAAAAAAGAAATATATATTAGCCCATTTAATTTAGTGTGTTACCTAAGTACCAAATCAGTACATATGCACATGCAGTAGGTACTATGATATCTATTTTTACACAGTACAAACTGAGGCTCCCAATACATGGTTACCAACTGAATAAATGAGGCTGAACAGGAGGTGTCAAGAGTAGTTGTTGATGATGCTATAAGTACTTCATATTTTTG